CACACTCACCAGCTCGTCTTGTCCAACAGCTTCTGCCTCTTTGAGGTTTTCGGTTCAACCCGCTTCAAGCTGAGTAAGCGATCCTTCTCTGCAACGAAATCGGCATGTGACTGGTGCAGCATATGAAACAACTCAAGCGGAATGTCAGACAACTTAAGGGGAACCCTAAGGCTATGATCAAAATTTTCAAAACGAAGGTTCGTAAGATCATCTGCATCCTGATTTTCTTCGCGCGGTCGCCAGGTCAGCCGGCACACCTTGTTGGCCTTCCTTAGAGAGACCGCCATCTGCATGTGCAACCCTTGCACCGGCCACTTGTTGCTGATCCCCTTTGACAAAACCGCAGGAGTGGCAGAGTTGTCTGTCCCGGCGTGAACCTGCAAGCGAAGTGAGTCCCTTCCCCCTGCTGGCACAAGGTGTCCGAACGCCACAAGGCCCGCGTAAGACGCGAGAAGCTCAGCAGTAGTTGAAGCCCATTCAGAAGAGTGCCCTTCTTTAAACAGGGCCGGCAGCTCAGTTGGTGAAATTTCTAGCGCGAACCACGAAGCTTGCTGAGTGTTTAGCCCATGTTCCAGCGACCATCCACCCAGCACGACCCGGCCGGTCTCGCACTTGGCATCTGTCCTGAAAGCCTGCCGGTCACAAGAAGGCCAGCTCATGTGTACTGTGTCCAGGCGGGCGCCATTCATGAACTGGATTACCATCTCTGGTGCAGTAGCAGCTGTGCTCCGGTTGAGCGCAGCACTCCAAGCAAAGAGCGGTGCCAAGAAAGGTTTCAACCACGCAAGCAGACGGGTCACGAAATTCAACCGCCCAATGAATTCGGTGAGCTGACGCCCTGTCACCATCCACTGTGCTTGCTCAGCCTGGTTGATCCATTCAATGATCCAAGTTGCTCGTTTCTCTGAAATGCCTGCAGACCAAGTCAGCAGGATGCGCCGCCTCCAGCGGCAGCAACTTAAACAAAGCTTCAGCATCATGCAAACTGATTGTGTCATGTTTCGTCAAAAGAAAATCAGCAAAGGCTTCGGCACCTTGGAATGATCCGTCAGTTGAGCGATGATCACAAGTTGAGCAAAGCAGCATGTTCGCTAGCTCCTCGGCGAAAGCCGAAGGCAGGGCTGAACTGGTGGCCCAGTCCGAACCCTGACGCCCTACCTTGTTCTCATGCACATGCGGACAACGACCCAATGGCCCTGTGTAGTATCCTGATTCATCAAAGGTGGGCCACTGAAGTTCGTAGGGCCCTGGCGAAACGTTCGTTGCCACCCTTGTCGGGTGAGCCGCATCAGCTCCATATGCGCACAGATGCACAGCCCAAGTGGCCCCGCACGATGTGTCCTCCAACACTGACCTGAGCTCCGACCATTGCCAAATGCTGGCCGGGTCCTCCAGGGACCTGAGCTTGCCTAAATCCTCGGGATGCACTAAAAACCATCCTAGCCCAGTTTCAGAAGCTTGTTGAATCAACTTTAAACACTGATGAATGATAAAATCCTCACGTCGCACAGCTTCAAGAGATTGCTTTGCAAGCCACGGGAAACCATGCGGAAAATTCCTGCCCCTGAGAGGACGGGGGCCGTTGCGCGAAGCACTGCTGTGATGACGGGCACGGCTGAACGTGCCACACGGTGGAAACAACATGAAACCTTGCCAGCATTCCTCGGCAACCTTATCGAAGATCGCAGCCCAAGCCACGGGATCTGTCCAGCTGCCAAGTTTGCCGTCCTCGCATAGGTGATCAACCTTGAGCTGGATCCCCATACGTGTTCCGCATTCCTTTAAACACTCATGCACGATGTCAAAGTTTCCTCGATCGGATAAGACCAAAACGCTTAGTCAGTTCTTCGCCTCGCTGCTCTTGTTCTCTTGTTCTCATGCTGCTGCTGCCAATGTTTCCAGGTAGGATGGGGCCCAAAGCAGCCCTTCACCTGACAGCAATGAACCATCCCACAGTTGCCATCACACCCAGGTCCAGAGTAGGCAAAGCAAATGAAACGACCATCAGGAGTCCTCGAAGAGGTGACGCTCTGCCCCTTTCCTCCCTTACCATCCTTTCCATCCTTCCCTTTCTTACCATCCTCCTTCCCTTTCCTTCCCTTCCTTCCTTTGTCATTGTCGCCTTTGTGCTGCCAGCCACCCTTCCATGAGTTCCGATTCCACTTGTTGTAGTTGCCATCATCCCAAGGTTCCCATGAGTCGCTAGCACGCTTGCCTCGGTTCTGTAGGGCGATAGGCGATGTAAAATATTGTTCTTTGATCTGAGCATCTTCAGTGACTTCCCGCAGGGTCTCGCGGAGCGGCCGCGAGTCTCGATATGCCCTCTTTATGGCTTCCTTCCGAAGTTCATATTCATAATTGAGAACCACCACCCATGGCGGCCGAAGCGGGGCCTGATCCATCTTGCCTCCCTTGCCACCTGCAGGTACTTGCATTA